GTTCTCAAGCTATATCTTGCTCTGGTTAGGCCCCATTTAGATTATGCAGTTCAGTTCAGTTTTGGTCGCCATATTATAGAATGGATATAAATTCACTTGAACGTGTCCAGCGTAGGATGACTAAGTTAATTCCCCAAATTAGAAATCTTTCATATGAAGAAAGATTAACAAAGCTTAAGTTGCATTCACTGGAAAGGCGAAGAGTTAGGGGCGACATGATAGAGGTTTACAAGTGGGTGAATGGACATAACAAGGGGGATATTAATAGGGTATTAAAAGTATCAACACAGGACAGAACACGAAACAATGGGTATAAATTGGATAAGTTTAGATTTAGGAAAGACTTGGGTAAATACTGGTTCAGTAACAGGGTTGTAGATTTGTGGAACCAATTGCCGCGTAACGTGGTGGAGGTGGGGTCCCTCGATTGTTTCAAGCGCGAGTTGGACAAGTATATGAGTGGGATTGGGTGGTTATAGAATAGGAGCTGCCTCGTATGGGCCAATAGGCCTTCTGCAGTTACCTTTGTTCTTATGTTCTTATGTTCTTATGAAAAAGCTAATAATATTATAATAGGAGTAATATATAGGCCACCAAATTTAGACAGAATGGAAGCAAAGCATCTATGGGATGAAATATCTAGAGCATCTAGATCTAACAGTATTTATGTCATGGGTGACTTTAATTTTAGCGGAATAAACTGGTTGAACAAAACAGGGAATAGTGAAGCAGAAGATTTTCTAGAATTAATTGACGATTGCTTTCTTACGCAACACATTAAGGAACCAACACGGGAAAATAATATTTTAGATTTAGTGTTAACTAACAGGGAAACGCAAATTAATGACATCGAAATAGGGAGTGAGCTAGGGAGCAGTGATCACAAAGAAATCAGATTTAGCATAGAATGGAATAGACCAGTAGGAGAAAATTCTGTTAAAGTGCCAGATTTTCGAAAAGCTGATTTTAATAGCCTAAGAAATTTTTTGGGTCAAATTGATTGGAAAGGCTTGGGTATGGGGTGTGGGCCGGTCTTGGAGCGAGACATGAACCCAGCGATAGGTGACTTAAATGGGGATTTCGATGTGGATTCAATATATAACTTATTTAAGAATATTCTAAACAAAGCACAGGAACGTAGTATACCTTACAAATTGAATAGATCGTATACTAATGACCCAAAGTGGATAACAAAGAATTTGAAGAACCTTATAGGTAAAAAGAGAGCTTGGTACAAAAGGATTAAAAATGGGGAGGTCACTTTAGAACAGGAATTCGTACAACTGGTTAGAAATGTTAAAAAAGAGATAAGGAAAGCAAAAAGAAACTATGAAGTTCGCATAGCAGGGCAAGCAAAGACAAATCCTAAAGGGTTTTTTCAGTTATATCGTACTAAGACTAGGGAAAGGATAGGTCCATTAAAAACTGAGACAGGTCAAATAACAGATAGTGATGAAGAGATGAGTAGTATTTTTAATAAATATTTTGTATCTGTATTTACTAAAGAGGAACTTAACAATATGCCTTCAGCCGAACAAGTCTATGTGGGTGGGGACGAGGACAGGTTGACGAGTTTAGCAGTTACCAGGGAGGATGTTCTTAAACAAATAGTAAAACTCAAACCAAACAAATCCCCAGGGCCGGATGAAGTGTTTGCTAGGGTGCTTAAAGAATGCAAAGAGGAGCTTTGTGACCCACTGTCAACCATATTTAATAAATCAATAGAGTCAGGCAGAGTGCCAGAGTTTTGGAAAGTTGCTAATGTGATACCAGTTTTTAAGAAAGGAGATAGATCACTTGCGTCTAACTATCGACCAATTAGCCTAACGTCTATTGTGGGAAAGTTACTCGAATCTATAATAGCAAATAAAATTCGTCTTCATCTTGAAAAACATAAATTAATAATTGAGTCGCAACATGGTTTTATAAATGGCCGTTCATGTTTAACAAATTTATCTTTTTATTCTAGCATTGTTGAGGCAGTTGATAGTGGTAAGGATTGCGATGTTGTATACCTTGACTTTAGCAAAGCTTTTGATACAGTGCCACATGAAAGACTGATTAAAAAAATAGTCTCATGGTATTGGGGGTGCTATATTAAGCTGGATTAGGGCATGGCTATACCAAAGGAAACAGAGAGTTAGTATAAATGGAATCAAGTCAGAGTGGGAAAATGTTGTAAGTGGAGTGCCTCAAGGCTCTGTCCTGGGACCTCTGTTGTTTATAATATATATAAATGATTTAGATTCAGGTTTGAGTAGCAACATTTGCAAATTTGCCGATGATACGAAAATCGGTAGGGAAATTAATTCGGAGGAGGACTCACTATCACTTCAAGTTGATCTAGATAGGGTTTTGAAATGGTCAAAGGATTGGCAGATGCAGTTTAATGCTGATAAATGTAAAGTTCTGAGGTTAGGTAATGATGATAGAGTTACAAGATACGAGCTAGATGGTGTTGTGATTGCGAAGTCGGATTGCGAAAGGGATCTGGGAGTTATGATTAGTAAGAATTTAAAACAAAAGGATCAATGCATAAATGTTCGTAATAAGGCAAATCGGACACTTGGATTTATTAATCGCAGCGTTAGTAACAAGACACCTGGTGTGGTTCTCAAGCTATATCTTGCTCTAGTTAGGCCCCATTTAGATTATGCAGTTCAGTTTTGGTCGCCATATTATAGAATGGATATAAATTCACTTGAACGTGTCCAGCGTAGGATGACTAAGTTAATTCCCCAAATTAGAAATCTTTCATATGAAGAAAGATTAACAAAGCTTAAGTTGCATTCACTGGAAAGGCGAAGAGTTAGGGGTGACATGATAGAGGTTTACAAGTGGATGAATGGACATAACCGGGGGGATATTAATAGGGTATTAAGTATCAACACAGGACAGAACACGAAACAATGGATATAAATTGGATAAGTTTAGATTTAGGAAAGACTTGGGTAAATACTGGTTCAGTAACAGGGTTGTTGATTTGTGGAACCAATTGCCGCGTAACATTGTGGAGGTGGGGTCCCTCGATTGTTTCAAGCACGGGTTGGACAAGTATATGAGTGGGATTGGGTGGTTATAGAATAGGAGCTGCCTCGTATGGGCCAATAGGCCTTCTGCAGTTACCTTTGTTCTTATGTTCTTATGTTCTTATGTTCTCTCGGTTGTTGCCCTTGATGAGGTGCGCTCCACTGTTTGTCCCTCCCCACCCCCGTCCTCTGATTCCCTTGACCACCCCTCTCCAATGCCTCCTCCAGCTCTGGACTCTGTCCGTCTGCCTCTGGTCCGTCCTCCCACTCGCTTGATTCCATCGCCTTTGCTAGATTTACTTATCCCCCCCCCCCCTAACCCTGATTTCATTTATCCTGATCTTACCCAGTATACTGTTCTTCTTTGCCTTTGTTTCTTCCTTGTTCTCTGTGTCTGTTCTCTATTTTTGACAATGTCTATTCTTCAATGAAGTATTCGTGGATTTTATGCTAATAACTTCCATGAACTCCAACTTCTGATAAGTTTTCATCACTTTGTCTCCAGGAGCCGATGCTTGGCGTTCGTCCTGGTCACTTCTGTGGTCATTCCTTTATCTCCCCCCCCCCCCCCCCCCCCCTCTCCCGAGCTTTTGCTGGCGCCCATAACTACTGCTCTCTTGATTCGTACTGATATCCCCTTCGTCCACCCCCCCCCCCTCTTTTTCAGTCGCCCATCCAATGTTCTGTATGTTCGTATATTTGAGTAAATGTTTTACAGTCTGTTCCATTTATCTTTCTCCAAATGTCCCGCTTTCACTTCCTGATGTTACGCACCTGTTGGACTCCTTACCAGAGCCTGTGTTCCTGTTGGATGATTTCAACTGTCGGCATACCCTCTGGGGTGATGCTCTGATAAACACACAGGGCCGCCTTCCAGAACCATTTGTCCTCTTCTCTTCTGAATTCTGGTGAACCCACTCATCTGAACTCTGGCACACTCACACTCTCCCTGTCTTAATCTTTTTCTCTGCTCGTCTTATCTTTACTTAGATTTCACATGACGGGTTCTTGATGACCTCCATAAGTGACCATTTCCCCAACCTTGCATTAGGCGATGATAAATGCTGCCAAGCATTCCTGTCCGACCCAGGATCATCGCCTAATCTCATATCTCAAGTTCACCAGTGTTTATTTACTTGGCAAGATATTATTCCAGTAGTTTATTATTATAAAAAGGCATTACAGTATAATTAGATTTATAAGTTTCAAGCAGATAATGCATTTTATATATATATATATATATATATATATATATATATATATATATATATATATATATATATATATATATATATATATATAATATATATTTATAAAATATAGCTAACATGAAGGGCTCCTTCTTGATGACTCGTCAACAAAAATGTTTATAATAAAATCGCTCCTCGGATATATGAAGTAGACTTGAGTTATATACAGTTTACGTAAAGCTACGACTGGTCTGGAGGTGTCGTAGCACGAGGCGGTCTTCTTAGGAAGATGGAAGTTCTTAAATGCCTTCCTGAATCCGGACGTAACCGCCACGAAGATGGTAAGAAGGAAAACGTTCTTAAGTACTTGCGTAACTGCTTCGTGAATTTGGCCCCTTATATCAAATTATTTTTCTCCAAATTAGTACTTGATGTTTGCATTTTTGCAAGTACAGTTTATAAACGTCAGGTTTAGGGTAGGAAAGTAGGTAGGGTAGACTTGTAGGAAACTTGTAAGGGCTTTCTCAGATAAGTAAAGCTGACGTTGCTCTATATTGTCAGCACTTGTACACTATAACACCATCTGCAGACATGAACTATATTCAGTACTGATTTACGCATGGCTTTGGTAATATATTACACTCCACTAAAAATGTTGAGTTATCAAAAGTAAATTTTCGAAAATTGTTTAAGACATGAAATACTGTACAGACCGTATCATGCAATAGAGAAGCATACTGAGTATTAGATACAGGCATACTGATTGGAAGTTAAATTGCAGATGGACACGAGCCTTCAGAGTGGCCAGCCAGCATGGCAGAGGGCCCCACCAAGCATTCAGAGCCCATCGTGCGGGAGCCTGCCCCTGGGCAGAGAAATGCCTAGTAGGGACTTGAAATCCTCTCCCACTCACCCGGGCTACTCGCAACAATGGGCTCCTGAGGACTGTCTTCGGAAGTTGGCTCCGCTATGGAAGTATGTACCACCACCTCCTATAGCCAAATGTTGCAACTCGCAACAGCAGCTCAGTGTTTCACCACAGTTCTCGGGCAGCCAGTGTGTGTCATCAGTGTCATGTGGGCTGGACACACATTACGCAAATTCACGATTTGTAATAAAGGCAAAATCCATAACGGCAGCGTCCGAGCCAGAAATATATCCAAAGAAATCCAATTGGTGTCACCAGAGGACCGCACAGGAGTCCGGCTGGGATACGAGCAAAGCAGAGGCTTCCACCTTCACTGCCACTCACGATGTAGCTACCACGGGCAAAGGTGACTATGACTACCGTTATCAGTTCTTTCCTTGTACAGGCTACTGGGAGAGAGGTGATGCCTCCACAACCAGTAAGGTGGTTTGTTCCCCAGCAAGAGGCAACACTAGCGGTCATCATGGTCGGGATTACAACTCCTTAACATCGCTTCCGCCCTCAACTCTGTCTTTTCCTCCTCGAGCTCTGCCTCTTCCTCCCCCGCCTTTGCATTTACCTCCTCCATCTCTTTTCATTCCTCCCCCTGCTGTACCCATTCCTCTCCCCGCTGTACCCATTCCTCAGATCCTACCCACCGCACTTTCTACTCAAATAACACCCTCGAGCCCTTCCGTGGTTCCCGCGACTGTAACAGTAAATGAACCTCTCGTAACGCAAAATTCGCCACCAGTCATACAGTGTACAGCGTCCAGCCACTCTACAACGACCACAACCCAGTCTTCTGCGACCAGTATCAAATGTAAAGAATATTTGACCCTAGATAAAATCTTAAATTACTCTCCATATACGACCAAAAATAATGAACCCATGTCGAAGGATATCGAATTTAAGGTCCACAATTATTCACCCTCGAATCAGAGCAAGAAAGTCGCAACTAAGACGGAAACATCTAGGACAAAGTACGTAAAGCCCGCGGCCCGGCGCGAGTCTCCTGCGGCCAGATACGAATCACTCCTTGCCAGGCGGAATTCACACATAGGCAGCCACAAGTCTCTTCACATGGCCAGGCGCGAGTCTCCTCACATGACCAGGCGCGAGTCAAACATGGGCAGGTACGAGGTGCCGACAGCCAGGCACAAGGTCAGAGGCGAGGTGCCGACAGCCAGGCACAGGGTAAGGTGCGAGGTGCCGACAGCCAGGCACAGGGTAAGGTGCGAGGTGCCGACAGCCAGGCACATGGTCAGGTGCGAGGTGCCTACAGCCAGACACGTGACAAAAAGGCCCGCGGTGGCCACCTCGAGTCACATTACAACTTTAAGAACGAGGGAGACATATATGACCAGCTTTGCGACGTCTATAGCTGATCATATGACACCTGTGTCTAGGTCTAAATCCAACGTGGCCAGTAGTTCTCATACCCTAAAAAAACTCTCAGATGCCTTCAACCAGCCTATTGCACATCGAAAGAAGTATGAAGAACCCATAACCCATCCGGCGACACCAGTGACACGAACTTTACCGGAAGTCCAGCCCACACTTGAGAGCAGAATAAAGTCATTGAGCCACATATTCACCACATCAAATGATCAGCCGATGACTGTAAAAAATAACGTTATTTTATCCACATCAGAGAGTCAGCTTGTGCCGGTAAACAAAGTGAAGCCCTTGATTTCCCAACAGTGTGATGGCCATCCCACGTCCGTGAACAAACATCAATCAAAAACAAACGTCTTGCGCTCCTTACGGTGCAAGACTGAGCTGTCAGAGGTAACGTTATGCAATGGGACTGTGTTAAAACAAGAAGTTATTACTGATATGGGACTGGGTTCAAAGAATATTGCGTCTCTAATTGATGAGTCGACATTGGAAGGATTAGCCGAAAGCCTTCCAGAAAGCCATAAACGTGGAGATGTTACAGATGACTTGCTGAAACGGGAAGATGCAGACAGTACAGGAATTTGCTCAGTGCTTACTGGAGAAGCTAGCACTAAGCAAAATAACTTGTTTACTGCCCCGTGTGACATTCCCCATAATGATGATTTAAAGAAAAAATACATTAAGACAGAAAATGTGGAGAAAGTTGAATTGTCTTTCGTGAAGACAGAAGAGTGGGAAGATGATGCTGATAGTGTTGAGACTAAATATGAAGTCACAAAGATTCCTTCTAGAGTGAAGAAAGATCAAATCAAGGACAAGATTGAGAATGAGGATATATTTAAAACTGAAGAGCCGTTCGGTAAAGCTGAGGTGACTGTAAGTGCAGACGAAAATAATTTAGTAGGTCGGCTCAAAAGCGATGGTGGTGTGGTGTCGACTGCAAGACCTGTGAGTGGGACATCAATCGATTGCAATGGTGGCAGCGGATATCTCCTGGACGAAGAGTTTCTAGAGATGTCGATGGATACTGTAGTCCCTGTGTGTGTTATTTCTTTGCCCTCTACTGAAGGCTGTTCAAAAACCGTGGAAAAATCCGGGAACACCCTACCCTTGAAGACTCTGTCTATTGCTCAGAGTCACGTGCCTCCTACGAAGACTTCTGAAACACTCAACATTACTGCTTATCCTCAAAAGACTGATGCGCAAACTGCATGCAGGGAGCAACAAAAAACGGGAAAAGAAAGGAGAAAGATTTATATAGATGGTAGCCGTAATCTAGAGAAGAAACCTCATGATTCAGGCGAGTTAATAGTACAAAACACTACTCTGATCAGAAAGCGAGTCAAGAGAAGAAAAAGGAAACGAGTCGAGGGTAACTCAGAAGCTCCAAGTACCAGCAAACGGCGGCATGGAGCATCTTCCAAGAAGTCTGGCTCCCGTCACGCCTCCATCCAGATGTCAAGTGAAGAGATGAGGAGAGCACTGAGGACGTGTTCATACGTGGTGCAGGATTACGTGTCCGACACGTGCCCGATTGGCCACCACCTCGACCCCTTCTGCGCCACCGTCAACGTCCACACCTACAACATCACTGCTCTTTGCACCACGTGTAATATCACTATACGCATGCGCACCGTGCATTGATGCTCACACACTATAGTATCTTATGACGATTATCTATAACATTCTGAAGTGCAAAATGTTGCTATAACATTAGACAAATGTTCTCATTCCATATGTATACCGTTGAATATATACTCAAAGTGTTTGACAGCACTTTGCTGAAACCAACTTAACAAAATTGGGTCCCTGTTCAAATAAGTTGTATATTATCATTTATACCATGAACTAGCTGTGTATACCATAACTACGTACCTGAACCAGAGTAAACCATGACTTACACCAGTGTATACCATTGTAACACTTGTTTCACCTGCACATTAAAATGTACTTTACAGTTCACTTTGTGAGGATTGTCCTGTTTTTCCCCTTAAGGCTGATACACTAATTACAAGCAAAGGGTGTTATATTGATGTTAATAAAGTGTACACTATTACAGGCATTAACAGGTATGTACGCTGTGACAACCCAAGGGTTTCTCAGAAATTTGAATGTGAAGGGGCCCATTTTTAGCCTTTTAATAAATTATTAAATACAACTGGTTAACATATCCTAACAGACAATTCCTACTTTAAGGCAATCAATAGAGGTATTGTTCTAAAAGAAAAGGAGTATGGTTCTTAAGTAAATAGCTGTAATTCCACGAATTCGTTACAGGATCTCACCATCTTTGGTCTTCCCTAACCCACCTTTCCACACAAAGGTACGAGTGTACCCGATCTCAGTCTTAAGAGTTTCAAATCGAGACAAACCCCTTGGAAAATGGACTTCTAATAGGCTTTAATTTCTAACTCGTAGGTCTAATCGATTTGATTGGAACTCGAGAGCTTAGAGATATGACGGTTGTTGACCACTAGACGTTCCCAAGGCTTTGCTTCGGAATCAATTGGATGTTTCCATTGTCACAGGTACTGAATTTGTAATTTAACCCCTTTCCCCTCCAATTCTTGTTTGCCATTTTATGTAACATTTAATAACTGTACACTCCTCTGGGTTCTCATACTGTGCAAGTGCTGTTCATGTCTGGTTCCTGCAGCCTTTTGTAACTAGTTTATGACTGTAACTTGCTTATCTAAATGAATTTTTGCGTTGTCCCCGAGCCCATTGTATGCCTCTGTAACGTTTTCTACTACCGCCCACAGGATAGGTACGGGGTGAATAATAAATCAAATTAACTAGGCTAAAATCTGCTGCATCCTTCGTCTGGAGGAGGCCTCCGTTTTCTGCATACAGTTGGTTGTAAATTTGTTTCCCCTCTCCTTGTTTGACATCCTTGCATTCACACCAAAAAACTTTTTTCCATTCCCCCTCCTAGTTCAGTGTTCACTCCCTGCTCCCCCTCCTAGTCCGCAGTGTTCATTTCTTGCTTCCCATCACAGGTTGTGATCCACTTAGATGGTTTTCTCCCCTCTACACCACTTTGTTTAATGTTGTCGCTTGATTCTTCTTTAGATTGTTATTTAATTATAGATAACTTTACAAGAAGTTCCAGTAATAGTGACCATGAAATTGCCAGCTCGAACCCCCCCCCCCCTCTCGTGTATTGGCTCAAGAGACTTTTGTGCACTTAGGGGTGGCTTCTGCCTCTTCCCCCCCCCCCCCCCCTCCTTTCCCTTCCTACAGCCCGTCCTCATAAACAAATGCCAAATTCCATTCCATGCACCCGCCAAGACACGTTTATGAATGAAAAACGGTTTACACAATCGCAATTGATGATGTCCGAACATTTCCGGAGCAAGTTCTTGACTGACGACTTTTGTTAGAACCACAACACTGTAAATGCAGCCCGTCCTCCAAACAAACACCCAAAAGTGATTCCATGCACCCGCCAAACGCCCTGTTTATGAATGGAAAAACGGTTTACACACGACTCACAAATGATTTCGTTCGAACATTTCTGGAACAAGTGCTCCACTGACGAATTTTTTTTCGAACCACAACGCTATAAATGCTTCACCCACGTACTACAAATACAAATCATTGCCAACAGACCCTAAAAACCTAACCAATGCCTAAATATGCACAGTATGCTAATATATAACAATATTATTTATATTTGAGAAAATTTCTATTTTGAATGAACATCATGTTAAAATTGATGAATGCGTCTTTGGGGGTCGACTGCTGGATGGAATGAATTTGGCCTGAGGAAGGGTTGCTTCCTGCTATACTGGCATACAACCAAATACACCTGGTACGATGTATTTTTAATTTGCGGGATCGCCTGTCGAATGGGGATCACTTTATATTTTTGGAGATGGGTGTCCGGAGATATCTCTGCCCAATATAAGTGAAAGCATTAAGCGATGGTAACGTCTTCTCTCAGACTTAATAACTTGGGATAAAACCCATACTTGTGTATCTGAAATTTATTACACCGTCTTTTCACTCTCCTGAGTGCTTTATCAAGGTTTGAGTATGTGGTTAGGACAAACTTGCATTTCAACGTCTGTGATGATTAGACGTTGAGACAGTAGCTTTGTCACCTACCACACAAGTGAGAGAATAAGGGTGAAATTTCCATACAAAAAGTGGTTAGACTCCAAGACAATGGGGTAGCACTTATGAAACCTGTAGTACATCTTTCATTAGTCATGTTGGCTTAATTAATTTGCTTTTGTTAAACAGCTTGAGTTGAGTAAGGACCTAGGGTTGAGATCAAACTTGCAGAATTTCAAAGTCCATAAACTGTTTAATATACCTGCTTGATGGGGTTCTGGGAGTTGTACTACTACCCATGGCCTGGTTTGACTTGAGAGCTTGGTCTACTAGGCTGTTGCTTGGAGTGGCCCACAGGCCCACATACCCATCACAGCCCGGCTGATCCGGAACGTCTCTTAGAAAACAGTCCAGTTTTCTCTTGAAGATGTCCACGGTTGTTCCGGCAATATTTCTTAGTCGCTGGGAGGACGTTGAACAACCGCGGACCTCTGATGTTTATACAGTGTTCTCTGATTGTGCCTATGGCACCTCTGCTCTTCACTGGTTCTATTCTGCATTTCCTTCCATATCGTTCACTCCAGTATGTTGTTATTTTACTGTGTAGCTTTGGGACCTGGCCCTCCATTATTTTCCATGTGTATATTTGTTTGTATTTGTATATTTGTTTATGCAAGTTTGAGGGAGCCGGTCGGCTGAGCGGACAGTACGCTGGACTTGTGGTCCCGGGTTCGATCCCGGGCGCTGGCGAGAAACAATGGGCAGGGTTTCTTTCACCCTATGCCCCTGTTACCTAGCAGTAAAATAGGTACCTGGGTGTTAGTCAGCTGTCACGGGCTGCTTCCTGGGGTTGGAGGCCTGGTCGAGGACCGGGCTGCGGGGACACTAAAGCCCCGAAATAATCTCAAGATATTATTTGATATCTCTCGTCTCCTTTCTAGTGAGTACATTTAGAGCTATACATATAGCAAGTGTGAGAAAGCTGCAGAAACATGCAAGCCATAGATCACTAAGAACTCTAATTGACCCGGCCAGGATTCAAACCCATGCCGTCCAGGATCACTCTAAACGTACACAGTACCGTGACCACCGTACCGATCATTGGTGCGGCGGTCACGTTACTGTGTACGTTTAAGGGTGATCCTAGACGGCATGGGTTCAAATCCTGCCTGGGTCAATTAGAGTTCTTACTGTATATCTAGCTATGAACTGCAACAATGACCAATCAAAGATTTACAGGTTTTGTAGGTAAACTATTTAAGACAGAAAATCAGGAACTACTTTGAGGATTCGTTCCCACTCGCTTGGTACAGGGGTTTCACACACACACTGCCTCCATGCACTCTGGCTTGTGATTCGATAGTTATTTATATTTGGCATTTTGGTGTGTATTTTTAGAAACGTTTCACAGGGTTTTTGTAAGTGGAGACTTAAATGCTTCATGAATATTGGCCTGGGCACCATGGGAGGCAGAACATGAGCCAATGGTGGGTATTGTCTCATCAGTAGAGAAGCTCTTCCTTCTTTATGCTGGCACTTAATTTTGATGATAAATTGCCTTTCCATTTTGTGAGGAATGTAGTCAAATTTGTTGGTCTTCTATATTTATTATATAATAGATTTACAAAGCTACAATAACAACAAATATATAAACATCTATATACACAGCTATATGCATAACATGAGGGTTCATTTGAAAGAAAATGCATCCCAATTTCAGGTACAATTCTTTACTTATTCAATTTCAGATGACATCAGCAGACTACTTGGATATTGTGCAAGTACATTTTAGTGAACTCTGCCTATATTTAATGAAGTTTTTATATGCCTGCATTCAAGTTACTTTGAGAAATCTCTACCCAAACCTATGATTAGGTATACTGTATTTAGGAAGATATATGGATAAATGTAAGGGATTAATTAGAAAATTACAAATAACATTTAAACACTGAAGACTTTACAAAGTTCAGGGAACTGTTCCGCTGCATATGTAGCATATTCAATTAGGTTATCTTTGAGAACTTAGCTCGGGTTCCAGCAGACTAAAAAATGTATTAAAAGGGCTACTTTTGCAAAACTTCCTGTGGGGTATTTACACACAAAACTACTACAATTATCCCCTGGTATTAGAGTACATTTAGAACAGCCATGTTTATTAATGATATCACTAAATGTCTCCTCCCTCTGCCTCAATGATTTTCAACAGTTCTCAATTCTGCCACCAGGCTTAATTACATTTGGGAATCTTGCTTGCATTACCATGCACAAGTTCAGTGTTTCATGCCAATGAGGTGCTCACCAGATGTGTACAGAACAAATTAAAGGCACCTCCAAGAAATATGAAATGGTACAATTACAATTTAAAACTATCCAAGTTATAAATAATTAAAACAATTTCAAATGTGAGTGTTACAATCTTTTATATTGAAGATGTAATATCATTTCCATCAAAATATTCAAATCAATATCCTATAATAAAAAAAGAATCTTGAAAAAGGTCAAGATGAAAAAGATGACACTTTCGCTGCCTTATGACGCGTATTCAGTCATAAAACCAAAATGCGGAGTAGTGACACCTCGGCTTACGAATGTCCCTATTCACAAACTTTTCGGGTTACGAGCCCAATTCCTTTGTAAAATGTGAATCAGCTTGAGAGCTTTGCCTCGAGTAATGTAGTGTAGATACACGTATGGGCGACCTAGTGCGCGGTTCCTGGTGGCATGGTCGTTCACGCTTCAGTTTACCAGTGCCTCCCACTTAGTGACGATTGTGTTGAATTCTTTGTAATTAAAAAAAAAAAAAAAAAATCTTTGGGGAGGGGAGGGTTTACACATAAAAGTAATTATTACACAACATGCCATGGATCCCAAGAAAGTCAGTGGTAGGGTTCAACCTAAGAAAACACGTGAGGATGACCAGAGAGAGAATGTAAACATTAAAATGGTACACAGGATATTGATTAGCTAGGCAGTACAACAAATCTGTCAATGATATGCAATGTAATTGCTAAGAAAAAGGACATTATGAGTACTACAGTGGCAAAAGGCACATATCTATCACGAAACAAAGAACACAAATGCTCGAGGATGGTGAAAAGTTATTAATTTTGGATACCCAACAAGGAGTTACCAGGTAATAGTGTTTTAGAGGCCATTTAACGATTCTTCGCGGCAGGGATCATATTCCAGGGACCATAGGATTAAGGACTTGCCCGAAACGCTACGCGTACTAGTGGCTGTACAAGAATGTAACAACTCTTGTATATATCTCAAAAAAAACAAAAAAAAAAATTATTTGTGAAACTGCAAGGCTATTGCATATTGACCTTTTAAAGACAACCCCTAGATCAAGTGATGCAGATATGAAAGAGTAAGTTGAGCAGGGAATGGTTTGAGAAATTTAGAAAAAGTGGCGGCATTCACAGTATTGAGAGAGTTGTGCGTGTTGCAAGCTGGAGTAGGAACACAGCAAAGAACTGACCACCGAAGAACTCTTAGCCCTTCACAAGGATCAACAAGACACGGCCGAGGAAATTTCTTCAGGGGAGCAGCAGTACAGAATGTCCCTTCCTCAACGATTAAGAAGTGTAGACAATGGGAAGAAATGCAAACTTTCGTTGAAACAACTTGCCAAAACAAGCTGTAGTAGGCCATTGCCTCAACATTTTTAATGACACTGTGATGCCTCACTACAGACAAGTGTTACAACGTATGGGGGGGAGGGGGAGGGAGGATAAAGTCTAGGAGAAAAGTTTTTAGTGAGAAAAACAAGCAGCGAGTCACAAGCAGGTACTAGTGGTATGCAGGCAAAATGTTGGAGCGTATGTATCCCAGAGAAGTCATCACCGCCTGATGTTATAATGGAAGGGGGACCCACCCCCCTCCACCATCTTCCATATGCCAACAAGTCGTCAATAAAGGTAAGCTATAACTTTTACATACTATAGTACTAAATATTGGTGTGAATTAGGTATAAAATCTATTTTGAAGTTAATATTTTTGGGAGTGTGGAACGAATTAATTTAATTTACACTATTTCTTGCGGCAAAATTTGTTTCGGGTTGTGAATTTTTGGTTTACGAACAGTCTCTAGGAACAGATTAAATTCATAAACGGAGGGGGCTCACACGCAAATGCAAATGCTGTCAAAAATTAAAAAAAAAAAAAAAAAAAAGTCCATTTATTGTCTGAATACTATGGTACTTTTTTTTTTTTTTTTTTTAAATGCACGCCAACTTCTGTCCATTCTCCATATACCCCATGTAGCATCCTGACTCTGCCGTGTGGGCGCTGCCCACGCTGGAGGTTCACTGTTCTCGTGAAAGTGGTGACCTTCCATAGCCGAAAACTTTCCCTATTCCAGTTATTTTATCTCGGTATTTGTTGTCAATTTGCGGCGTTTATAAAGCCGATGACTTCCAGATGAATACTGATCAAGAACAGAGCCAATACAATGTTGAAAGCATTGAAAGAAACACACGAGGGAAAAGTTAGTTTGTCAAAATTATAGAAAAGTGACATGTTCTTTAATGCAAATATTCCTTTACAGCATTCTATTGCGAACAGTTTGATACCACACAGAAATTGAGGTCAGAAAGCTAGAGAGTATAAACATTTGTGGGTGGAGAATACACACACACACACCGCGTGGCCGATCTTGAGGTGCGCTGCGGGTCGCCCACCTGGGCAGCGAAAGTGTTAATGTTTTGTCTATAAGGCCTTATCAGATCTCTTAGAGGGGGAAGGGGAGATGTTTCTCATCGTTGCAAGCATTTTGTGCTTTCCAGCCAGGACAAATAAACTGCTGCAGCACATACCTTATCCAATAGTACAGCCAAGAAAGTTCATCAGTGACAGCATAGGTAAAACATAATATTCATGATAATATTGCCCAGATTATGAAGGTGGCTTCTAAACTTGAACTTGCTTAATACAAACTTAAGCAGTGAAAGCTACCAAAACAGACTTGCAGTGTAACATACAGTGGTCGTAATATATTGGAGCATAGCACCGATAATTTTTTTTTTTTTTTTTTATCAAAATTAGCATGGTCCAGGTTGATTGAGCCATTAACAAAAGCTATGCCCATTGAAGGGCAGTACACTGCAAGTAAAAAAAAATAAGCTAATTAATATAAATTGTGTACACAAGAATTTACTAGACAAATTTTACTAAACTTAATGGTCTGATATGAAATGTGCACCTACCTCTTCTTGGGGCAGGGTAATAAATAACTAGTCTGGAATCATAACTAAACATGTATTGTTGAGCAAACGATTAACAAATCTAGGAACCTTGGGGAGAGGGGGCTCCCATCAAAGAACTACACTGTCAAATATCAAACTATCCTAGTTTAATCATAACGTTCAATTTTAATACATTTAAAATACCATGAGAAGATATTTTGTGGGGTTTGGAGCTTAAATTATCGCTTTCTTCCATCAACCAAGTAATAAAACTACACAAATTATTTTATACTTTCAATCTCGGATTGAGACTATTTTTCAAATAGTGATAAGTATTAAGTATTCCTTCATTAACTTTCAAAAATCAAATGCTAATGTTAACTTATCACAACCAAATAATAATATTCGATCCTAAGAAGTGGAATGCATTTAACAAGATTGCCTCTTAAGTATTTTTTTTTAACATTGTTAGAGTATTTGCATGTATTCTTGTTGAACCCAAACAAGTCCCTCACTCACTTTAAAGAAGCAATATGGTACTCAAGTTTAGTGTGGATCATTATTAATGTTTAACCAACTCACATTCTGGGATATGCTGCTGTACCACCACTAAAATCCCTAAATTGTACAGAGATTAAGCAGGCTGGAGAATTGTTACAAAATATTAAAACAAAATTGCACGTATTTTTTTGTTCTGCAAATATATCATCGGTTTGATAAGTTCATTAAATTGTTATTTCAATGCTATACCAGAGAATTTTCTGCAGAGCAGCAACCTATCCCATCTTGAAATATTTATGATTCGTGATATTTTTCCCACTTCGTTTCTTTCCTAAATAAACGATGAAAAATGGTGTGAATTGCAAGATGTGAAACTTTTTTTTTAATCCTGCAGGGTACTTTGAAGAATGGCCTGGGTTAAGTGTTTTAAATTACTCGACTCTTCACCCCCCCCCCCCCTCTCTCTCCTAATTGTTCCAGACAAGACTTCCCCAAAGAAGTCCAAACCTACTGCAACACTCACAGCCACATCTCAATGTGTCTGACTAGAAATAAATAATATAGTATATAAATAAAGGAAGAGTAACAAAACTTTTTCTCTTCACCAAACATGCTACTGTAATGTACTTCACAACACACTCCATATAAGAGTAAACCATTAATCCTAAAAGAAATGTTTGGCAGTATTGGATAAACCACTGTTTTCTTCATATATTACCCATACACAACCTTAAGAAAAGAAACTTGCATGCATTGCAACAACATACATCCGAATACTACCACATACATTTATTTCAGCAGGTACAAATACATTTCGATCAAAGAAAATCCATGTAGCTAACCTTACTAAACTGACAAATACTGTACATGTATAATTATAACCAATGTATAATAACTGCTTTGTAACTAACTGAATACAATCCATATCTATCTGATACAAATGTTAATTTTACACTATTAGACAGCAATATTGTCTTCACCAAAGGCACATTACCAGACATATTTAACATCTACACTACTAAACGTGTAGCCTGCTTGACAACCATCACAAAGTTAACCAGCAAGAAAGCTACAACTTTTAATTATTCTAGTTCCAAAGTTGAAGTGGTATCATGGGACCCTAGTACAGTAGGCAAGTGTAAAATCACTAGTCATTGACCTTTTACACCTAGTTCAAGCATTCCAGTAGATTTAAGATCAGAAAAAAAATGGTGTGCACACTGCAGGTTTCCTAACTAAAAGATCACAAGATTCTCCTATTTATTCCTATTATTCTGCTGGCCGTTATGTACAAAGTTAACACATTCACTCTTGTCAAACTAAGAACTGTTAATAGCCAGTAAAGCAGTCATATTGATTACTGTTCAATGTTTAAAACATGATCTGTATATATACTGGGAGCTGCAGAAGGACTGACTGTAAGCAATTATATAAACTAGAATCGAGCTTCACATGACACTATCTATAATCCTCAACAATTTCATATTTATCCACACAAGATATGGAGCCTAACTTTAATAAAGGCCTTTGTGCAGTTACATTTAATTTTCATTGTATGCTCCCTTGGAAAAGTGTGCCAATGCAAATTAAGAAAAAAAATAAGAAAAAAAAAGAGTTTGTTTTTAAACTTATCCACTTAAGTTACTGAAGCAGAAAAAAAAATGAGATATTCAGATCAAGAACAAGCCCTCTATTATCCATAGACATGTTACATTCAGTTACAAGTAAAAATTTCAGTATACATACAGAACAGGACATCACAAAATGGATAACTAGTTATCACTACAGTCTTACCATCATTAGGAACAACTTGAGCACCTTTATTGGCTTGGCAAAAGTTATAAAAAAACAAAAACAAAGTTACTGGAAGACTAAAAAATATACAATTGAAATCTGTCAAGGTTTATGCTGGAAACTGAATTTACCAGTTATTATACAATTATTACCGGTAACAAGCACAGGTCTGTAAGAATTCCATCTCTTTTTATGAATACAATGCAAAAAGTATCATTTTATTTTAAAGACCGACAACTCTAATGGGTTATTTTGGTCAAGAAAATGAAGACCTGTAATAAAAAGCCAAGATCAATCATTAAATGGCTTTATTTTGCTGCATCTTAGGTACCACAAGTGACATTGCAACTTGCCAATTTGACATTCAAAGTAATTTTGTCAAAAGTTAAACATCAAAAGATACCATATGCTTTACCCATTTTATTTCCAACATCTTTTTTGGCCAAGTCCCTCTTAACGTTATTAACATTGCTGCAAGCAAGCTATTCTTCCGTGGTCTCGTCCATGTCATCATAGCCATCTTCATAAAATTCACTGTCACGTTCACCGAAACGCCTGCAATATAAAATATGAATATATTTATTTGCAATGGCCAATGACTGTGTAAAGTTATGTAAACTTACTAATTTAGATTAAAAGGAAATTAGCAAGTTTCTAATTGCTGTAATTCAGTCATGACAGCAATTGGCATGTATGAGTTGTACAAATTTATTCCACATTATCTATAAATAACACCAGGATTTTAAGGTCTTAAGAGTACAAGTTAAAACACCCAATCCTCTGATCTAGTCTAGCTTATTTTAAAATGTGAGTAAGGGAAGGAGGGGATGGACACTATAAACACAATGTTGGCAGACCATTTACATAATTATGCTAAATATGTTCGATTAGTGTTTAGGGTCTAGCCTGCACAAATATATAATACAGTGCTACAGAACCCTGGCTGTTTACTAATGTTGATATCTAAAGCAAAATGTGTTATTTGCCTATCCAGATCTCGATTACCGATTTCCTAAACATGTACATCATGATTAAATCTGTTCCCGCTTTGAACTTCTCTTATCTAAAGCATCGGGTGACAAAAGTAAAATGGATCGTGTAGTTTCTGACACGACTGGATGGAGTAGGCAAATATGAAAGTATAACAAAACAAACCAACAATAATATTTTAAGTCTACTCATATCAGGACAATTTATGGCCCTCAGAGCTAACAGCACTGTAAGCCAGACATGACCGGGATTATTTCATCAAAAATGTTTAAATACTTTGCAAGTCAAGGTATTAATCCGGAACTACTGCCATGACAAGTCCAGCATAATTTGTGCAAATGGCAACTGCTTCAAACTCAACAATCCACAACCAAGTAAGAGATGCTTTTCCACTTAATAGGGTAATAAAAATCATGGCAATGCCATGATTGCCATGGCTAATAAAATCATGGCATGGACTGGTTGACCAGTCCAGCAACGAGGAAGCCTGGTCGAGGACAGGGCCGCGGGGACGCCAAGCCCCGAAAACACCTTAAGGGTGTGTTACCTCAAGGTAACAGTAAGGTAAGCCTACCCCACTCAAACCATGAATGTGAAGACAGTACTCTAGTTCCAAATTCTACTCAGAAAGGGGTTGGAGGGAATGGGAGAAATTAACAAAATCTGGAATAATGCAGGTATGCCTTGATAAGCCTTCTGCTTCCTATCCCTAGTGAGGGCCACAAGCCATGGTGGCCTTCATGAAAATTCAGAAGATTGTGACATGCGTTAATAGTCCCGAATGCATGTCAAGTCAGTATTCATTCTTAATGCATTCTTATTTCTCTGTTTAAAAGTGGCAATTGCTACATTATGTAATATATTTTTTTTTAAATGCATGTCAATATATTTGAATTGTTTTTTAAAAAATTAACCCATTAAGATAGTTTAAATATTTTAGAAAGTTTTTCCAATTATGTTAAAAGAATAACATAACATTTAAGAGTTATACTTCTGGTAAAAATTTACCTGTTAGAAGTCAATAAATGGATAACAAAAATGAAAGATTAGTGTTAATTATTACATCACATCCCTAAGCAGCATGCATGTTCTTACCTTGTGAGGACGTAAACAACACCCTCGTATGTAGCCATCATAATCGCAGTATTGGGAATTTGTCGCACAAGTTGTGTTGCTAAGCCACGGTAAAGCCCACCCCATCCTTCCTCACGTAGTACCAAGCCAAGAGTTTGCCAAAACCCTCGATACTTCCGTCCCTCTTCTCTCATCCGTGTTCTTGCTACTTCTGTAATATAAAATGAATACTGTAAATGCTGTGAGCCACGGGTTCCTGAAAATATCCAACTCGGCCAGTATGAGTTAGATTCCCTTTACAAATTAAGCAAAATACAAAAATGTTTACTGGTATTTTTTAAGCAAGGCATTATTTTGTTATGCAACTAGAGAGCATATTCATTAATTTTAGTTTAGAGGTTATGGGACAAAAAAATCACACACAATTTATTACCCACCCCCATGGAGCAGTAAGAAATATAGTCAAACTTGTAAATATTAAATAATAAAATGTCTTGCAAACCACTTCTATGCAGACATATCCCTCTGCCTTTTTGCTGTCCCACTTCCTCACATTCCCCTTATCCACCCATATTCTTCCTGGATTCCCTCGTCTCCTACTCAAATTCAGTTGAATTTACACACGTCACCAGTCTACAATCACTCACTAAACATGCCCAAACCTACACGTTGTCAATCTAACAATACTACTAAAATCAAACTATGTACTATATCAGGAAACTGGCCAAGAGGGGTAAAAAGCACTCTGAAGCTTTACAACTCTTTAAGCCCCTGGGAAGGTGTCCCAGGGACTCGGGCAAACAGACTATTAGGGACTGTAGACAATTTTTCTCTATGTACTTTCTTGTGTAACTAATTTTATTATTCTGCCCTGTATGAAGACACTTAAATTTGTATAAAAGGCTTTTACATATTTAATGATAATCCAAATAAAAATTTAGGATTATCTTACCATCTTGCCATAGATGGCAAGTTTTGTATTAGCAACACAATGGACTTTAATGGCACCTACAGATTCCTGCTAATACACGCTTATATTTAGATAAAACCTTCATTAACCTTTAATGTGTGGCTATCAAAGGAACCACTTCCTGTAGGCAAAAAGTTTGCCTACATTTATATACACATTTATAAACATTTATAAAATAATAAATTTGCATGCAAAAATGAAAGGAAAAAAAAATCCAGTCTTTTTCAGGTTTCATGCACATTATGATGGATCCAGGTGGACAAATCATTGGATCTGTGTACACACATCATTGTAGTTTGCCAACTTCTTGTGTGAGTGAGGGCTCTGATGTTCAAGTTAAATAGTTCACTTAATTTGCACAATGTGTTAAATAACTATATGTACACATAATTAACAGACAGTGATTATTGTGTAAAGGCTCACAGTGTAAAATGTACACGTACTGTATTTCACTTAACTATTTGTGGTGCGACTCAAAAGTGCCATGCTGTATCTTACAAATCACTCTTGTGCTATCAAATGCAAAATTTCTCAAGCATCTTATCAAGCAAATTTAAACTAGTGTATAATACTTAAAACAAAAACATCACAAAATATGTAGCCCATACATACCATGAGGGTAGCAGATGGATGATGCTATGGTTTTCGACGTGGCACCAGCAAGCATAAACTCCAAGAAATCTCTAGTCGAACGATTATTGGGATTGCCTTGCCTGAAAAGATGGAACTAAGAAAATTAGTCGTTCTTGAAAAATACCATGCAATAATCGCAAAAGCAAAAGAACAAAAATCTAAAGGCCTGCTTTCAGTAATAAAGCTTGTGCCACAACAAATAGGAGGAACATGGAGTGCACAATAAATTATTACTGGCACTAACAATTGTTATGATAGGTTTACTTTTATTCAATAAAGCAAATGACACAGCCTTCGGTTTCAAGTTACTTGTACCATGACATGTCTCTATTCAAATATTACATTTTAAGTAATATTTGAATACAGACATGTCATGGTACATGTCTATTCAAATATTAAAGTGAGAAACCATTCACAAAGTAGCATAACATTCACATATATTCGATGCAAACGTCCTTTGCATCATAAAATGTCATCTACACTTCAGTGGAAATAGACTTTCTATTCACCTGGGCTGTATGGGGTCTCGAACCGTGGACCACACAGGTGAGAGACCCATACAGCCCAGGTGAATGGAACTTCTTTGCATTGCCTCGGCCACAGCCTCCAAATTATCCCGGCACTGGACTGTGATGGGAGCTATCACGACCCAACTAGCAAAACCCTGGAGTTTAAGACAATCCCTTGAGCACGGGATGTGGAATACCAACCTGCAGTCAAAGTGTGTGGACCAGGCAAAAGTAATTCTCTAGTGCAAATCCACCAGACTGTGCATTGACACACTTTATACAAAGAAACAATTTTTATATGTAATGAACTCTTCAGTAACAAGTCCTAAACACTACAAGACTAGAGGTAGGCAATAGTAGTTCACCCTGAAACCAATAACCAGTCTCGTAACTAAAGATATGGGATGTAAAGAGCTACACTTGAAACTTTCATATAGACTAACCCGTTCACAAACTTTGACCTCGGTAATCTTAATTAATTTTGCTAAAATTGCAACAGTTTTTTTAGTCCCAATTCAAAACAAAAATATTGGTCAGGTTACTGACCAATATGTAAAACAGTGGAACCCCCTTCATTCAGATTCCTATGTAAATCAGTCATTTTTTCATTAATAGTAATCTTAAAAAATGTTTCAATAATCAAGTTTACATTTCAATAAATGCTTTATATTACTGTGTAAATAGTATTAAAGCAAAAATATAAATGCAATCCTAGTGCATCAACCAAGTATGGATAGTGTAATCTGCTAGGAATGGCAGAGACAGCCCCAGGAAAGAGACACCTTAACAAGACTTATTTGCGTGGAACCTTCAAAGATAACAATTTTATTGATAGGAGTTTACAATATTTAATATTCGACATGCAAAGTTAAAATTTAGAGGGAAAAGTAAAATTACTTACCTATCTGCAATAAGCTTTGCCTTGATGGCTTCGTATATTACGAAGTGGATGACCGTTTCAGAAATGCCATAGTATGATGCTGTGATTCCTCGGTAGAACCCACTAAGGCCCTGTAATAATTATAAATTTCAAGTGCTGTATAACATATATACTAATTCAAACAAACTTGTGTATTTTTATTCAAGCCTAACAGTCAATAATCTGTGTTCATGTAGATGCCATTTAAGGTCTAGCATTTATTACTAATGTTTCACAATGTAAATTTACACCTCTGCTCCAAATTAGGCAACATTTGCACCAATTTGTAGATTGACAAACTTACAAATTAAATTTGAAAATTGCATTAATAAAACATGAAGAGCCACTAAACTAGTACATTCCTTAGCCTTCAATAGCATTTCCTTGACAACTTTACATACTGGTTAGCCTAAATTAGAAGTGACACTGATATGCTGTTCTTTGGGGTGACTGGATCATTGTTTCAGGAAAGTATTATAAAAATGCCTAGCTACTTCAAAAGTCCATGACTACAATGCTAACCAGGGTTCTATTATAAACACTATGTGGGTCTCGTGCTTGACAAGGGGGATAATCATTAGAGCATGTAACTCTGACTGCAGGAAACGCATTCAATTTGAAATTTAAGTGCATGGGCAGTGGTAATCATAATTTCAAGTTTTACCACTGTTCAATGCAGTATTGAACAGTGAGGCATGTTCAATAAATTGCTTCCAAGTTCAAATTAGCACCAAGAGGGTGATTTAATTAATTCACCAATCCAAAGAGTAATTTATTAAAAGAACTCGTTAAAGGAAACCTTTTGGCACTGAGGAAACAAAATTTCACTATAATTTTCTAGAGCTTGCAATTATATTCTCAATATACCGTACAATACTACAAACCTGTTGACGATAGGTTCGTCGTACACACTGGAGCGCAGAATCACTATGGCCATACACATTGTGGTCCAACTGAAGACGAGTTTTGATAAACCATATTGGATTGGTGGCTGTGCAAGCAGTAAAGCCTGAAATAAAAGAAACCAAATACAGTAAAAGGAACTAAAATATTACATTTCCTTTAGCATTTATAGCTAAAGAAATTAAACATTAACATATGTCTTTGAAGATCATTGTCAAAGATTAAAGCTAATATCACAGCCATTGTGACAGCAAGCAATTTTTCTGAAGAGTAAGCAGATATTCCTGCTTATATAAAACTAAATCTAGCCTAATAGCATGCTATATTGTCCTAAGAAAGCAAAGTCCATACAGGCTACCATGTTTTATCTACTGCAATAAGGGTATATGCATCCCAGGAGGATAGTGCAAGCTACCAGTATCGCAGCAGAATAATACTAACTACAGAAAAACGCTCCTCTGCATTTAGTATCTGACCTTCCCCTAGATTTACATGGAATTTTGGAGCATTATCTGTTCTGCTTTTCAGTTCTTAGCATAAACCCAACAACTAACTACTGAAGTGCAGATTGTCAAGTACATATTCAAGACTTTAAATATGTTACTGCAATGGTGCATTGAAGTAACAAGAAATTATTTTAAATTATTTTACCTGACCAAGAGTATGAAGTTTTATGTATATAGTCCTTGATGGTATCTGCCTTAACTCTCACTGGGTCTCCCTAGCTCTAAAGCTCAAGGTATAATTACTGTGTCCCTAAAAATAAATTACACAAATTTTTGTGCTCATTATATCTCTACAAATCAATTCATATATAGTACTGTACATCATAATACACAACTGTTTACCCGAGATCATCACTTCAATAGACTTAATTTATCCCACAAAGGCCTCAACACTTGCTGCACATCAATATTGTTTCCACTTAAATCTGAGGAATCTGCAGTTTAAACAAAAATCCTCAGATAATGATGGTGAACTTTATCTCTCATTGTTTGATCATGACTACTAAGGAAAATTGTGCTTCTCAAACCAATCCATTTTGACTGGAGAAACAATTCTGTCAGAGTACATACACTATGCCAGTCACAAAGATGACTTAATGACTAATCCGAAACCAAAACAGAGCCATTAAATTTCAAATCCCCCTGCAATATTTCTTTTGAATGGGTGACTTATCGGATCCTCAAACAGGTTCACTTAATCCTTCACATTAATCTTTTCTGCTCAATTTCAGCAGCCTGTCCTTGTTACATATTCCTATTTAAGGAATACTCACATTGATGTACAGTGTAATGTTTATTATATTTTGTTCTTGCATGGGGGCATGTATATATATATTTTTATACTTGTCATACTTTGGCAACCCAGTTGAGAGGAGCGGGTTTGCTCTAGTCAGGTATGGGACATGAGAGATTCGGGTCAACTTCCTGATAGAATACAGGAAAGCTTGTGTTGTGTAGTTGCCAACAGTTTCCTCTTTATTATTCTCAATAAATATATTTGTTTTATATAAACTACATTACCTCTGTTAATGCATGTCAACTTGACCATTCATATTTAAGTTATGTTTTCCTTAGCCCAGTTATATTGCTCATTCAAATTAATTTTATATAAATTTACCATTCGTTAGGTTGTGGAGAGGGTGAGAGCGGCTTCCGACGCCAGTTTTGAGTTAGTAGCCGAGAGCGGGCCATTGATTCGACTGTCTGATAAGTTTTGTCTGTATATTTTTTATTCTGTATCTTGTCTTAGTAGTTACAATATTCTGGTGAGCCTACTTCATTATATTCTAATTCTTTAGTAGGCCATCTGATTACTGTTATACCTGAAGAATAATATTTGGAAATGTATACATTTTATATTATACAAGATTTTATATACCTGTACATGTGTGTATTTTGTAACCTGGTGAAATACTTAAACTAATATTGTATGGTACATACTGATGAGGCACCCTGGTTGAACGTATTTTTAGTTTTTTTTTAATTCATCCCCTAGACCACGAACTTCTTGTCCCTGTAAGTTCAACGAGCGGTGCGTACAAGTTGTAACAGTCCTCACATACACAGATCCAAGCTCATTAATCCAGCCACCAAACCCCCCGTTTACGAATGAAAAGCGGTTTACACACGACTCTACTGATAATGTTCGAACACTTCTGGAACGAGTGCTTCGATGACGACTTTTGTTGAAACCACAACGCTGTAAGTGATTCACCCACGTACTACTGTACAAATAATCGCCAACAGAACATAAACATTAATCTAATCACTAATCAATGCCTAAATAGGCACAGTATGCTAATATATAACAAAATGTGAGAAAATTCCTATTTGGAATGAACAGCATGTTAAGTCATGAATGAGTCTTTAGGGTCGACTGTTGGATGGAATGGGCTTGCTCCGAGGACGGGTTGCAAATACAAATAATCACCAACAGAACTCGAACAACTAAACCTAAAACCTAGCTATAGATAAGACTATGTATAAGAATATTAATACACGAGAACAAACTAATTTGAATACACAGTAATGTATGTTAAAATTGATGAATGCGGGAGGACGGTCATTGCTTTAAACAGCCTAGTGCGAGGACTGGTCGATTTCAAAAGGGGGATTGAATTGTATAGTGGGAAACTCGAAAGTTCAAACAAGTCTACACGACTTTCGGCATGAAGGCCACGAGACCCAACATTTCTAGCATTGCTTGGAAAAAGACTTCTAATTACCATACACAGTTTGTGCGCACACACACACCAGCTCACTCCTTGTATAATAAATGGTAGGGGTAAAAATGTCTACAACCTTGTCAAACTAAACATGCCTTTTAAATGTAATCTACCCATCACTGATGTCCCAACTTGTCTATACCCCCACCATCTAAGTATCACACATCAGCATGAAAGGTAATGAGAATCTTTATCTTCTAAAAGTAGGCACAATTGAAACAATTGTAAAAAAAAAAAAAAAATAAACTTGTCTTGCTACCATTAGGTCTATACTGATGCTATATTTCGACCTGCAGGTTTTACAGAAATAATATAATAATATATACAGTTCTTGTACATAGACTACTGATGTCAGATTATACAACTGGTTGAACTCTATGCACAAAAAACTAACTGCACTACAACTATCAGTAAAAAACACACAAACTTTTTCAGTGTCAGTAGTTAACAGACAGAATCCATTAAGCAGTGATGTTGTGGAGGCAGTACATCAGACTCCATACACAGTTTCAAATGTAGATATGATAAGAGCCCAGTAGGCTCGGGAATCTGTACACCAGTTGAGAGGTGGGACCAAAGAGCCTAGAGCTCAACCTCCACAAACAACTAGGCAAATGAACTAGCAACACAGTTCATTTACACATGTGAATTCGCATATAAGTAGAGTATTTACAGAAATATTTGCATGCTCAAGATGTTAAATGTACACACAACAAACAAGTAAGTCATCATAAAGATATTGACGAGTAGGCTTGTAATCTTGTTGAATTTGCATGTGGAAACCAAATGTTTTAGTTTAATTCTTATTTATGCTAATACACAAGCTGAAATGTCAAGACATATTTTGAAATATCATTTACAAATTATGCGTAGCCCAGATAAATTTAGGAGTAAAAAAGATATATAATCTTTCATTTAATATGTGTATGTTCGAATGAGTTCGAGTATGCTATTTACAATTTAAATTAACAATTTAAGGAAGTTTGATAAGCATTGTGTACGAGGGTTACACCTGTGTTTACACCTACAGTACCAGCTGTTGGCACTGCACTGCCATGTTTCAAATTTAAAAATGGAGAAAATTATGTATTATTAGTTTGCTTTAACACACAAGTATTATATAAAAGGATTTGCTTTAATAATATTCCTTAGGGTTGTAAGTAATGGACTATCATTCAATGGTAATGTACAGGGTAACATTGTTTGTGCTTTAGTAGAATTTGATATCAAAACATTTCGAAGAACATTTTAGAACATCCTTTTTCTCAAAGTGTATAGAATGGACAGAAGACAAGGAGCAGGTTAAAACTTCTGGCCGAGGCACTAAAGTACTGTAGTCATGTACCCCATTGATGTGGGTAGAAAAACGGGGAGGGACGAAATTTGACCTTCATTTACAAAAAAAAAAAAAAAAAAAAAAAAGGATTTTAATGTCATACTAGGATTGGCTAGTATAGGTTAGGCCTATACTAGGATTGGGTAGTAGAGGTTAGGCCTGAGCTATCACTGGGGCTAAGCCTAAATGTGATTTTTGGTCGTGTAACATCTTGAAGTGTCTCTGGGTTTCCCAGAGTTGCATTAATCCACGCGCGAGTAAATAGAAGTCAGTAAAGGTTGGAGATAAAAAAACTGGATTATTATACTTGCAGGCTAGCTCTACACAAGCCATGTAAACCTTCATATAGTCTAGGATATCTCTATAAATGTTGAAGTATATATGAAAATATATTAATCCCTTATTCACAGTTTAATTATGTCTACACTATCAGTATTCAATTCATAGTACAGTGTTTTTAAAGCAGAACTCTAGCACATTAAATTGCTATGGCTGATGATTTACACTTCGTTAGCGCTGATTATTAATCACTAAAACAGGCTCAGGGAATTTTTGTTTAACCATGTAGACAACTAATGCGAGTACACACACACACTTATTAGAAAAGACAGTAAACTACACAAAGTCTATGAGCCAGCTCCTATTTATATTCGCCCAACCATATTCTTGTGTAACAGTCCTTGCGATCCAAATCCAACCTCTATTTTCTTACTCAGTAATTTGTTCCATAAATCGGCAATCATGTTACCAATCCAATATTTACCTACGAATTTCCAGAATCTAAACTTTTCAAATTTGTACCCCTTATTTCGTGCTCTAATTTGTGTGGGTACTTAATATCACTTTTTAAGTATAAGAATGGATAAAGCTGAATAAACACTCAGGAGAGAGCAAAGCTTGAATGGTCCCCAAGTAATACAGATTCGTGGACGAGTTTACCCTGATCAATATTTTGACTTTGAACAAGATAAACTAGTGTCAGTAGTCGGGGATCTGACCTTCACGTGTAATCAGTGGATAGTGCGTCTTCAATAGTGTT